ACGCCTCGGCCGGGCTCAGGGTAAAGGCTTCCCCCTGGGCCGTGCCACCCACAGGAGCCCTTCTCGGGGAGGGTTTTGATGCTTATAATTTAAGTCCCTTGACATCCTACTGAGAAAGGTCAGAGCTGTTGTCTTTGACTTAGTTTTCTGGAGCCTGCGTCTGCCTTCTCGCGCTCACAAGAAGGCGCAGACCTGGAAAGGGTCTGGCCCGCAGAGGAGTAATACGCTATTCCCCATCCTTGAGCTGTTCTGGTGGCTCTTAGCGGGGTCCTGCACCCCTGGGCGCAGTCCCAGAGCAAGCACGTCCCTCTCCGTGCCCTCCCCTCTGTCACACACGCAGTCTCTGAGCTGGGTCAGGAGAAGGGACATAGGGCTGTGATTTTTGGAGATGGGGACGGAGCTGGGGGAACCCTTCCCAGAGCTGCTGCTCTCCTGTCCCCTCCTTCCTGCCCATCTCTCCCTCTGTGCAGTGTGGCACACTTCTTGGTGCTGGGACCATCGACAAAGCCAGGGGCAAGACGATGCTGCTGCAGGTGCACCAGGGAACCTGGGCGATGGCCAGGTGCCCGTCTCTTGGGTCCAGAGCCCGTCCTGGCAGGCCTGTGAGTGACAAACTGCAGAGCGGGCTGGAAGGGACTGTCACCGAGCCAAGGAGAGCCGTGCCGTACCGCCTCGCGCGTACGCACAGCACTGCTGCCACCCGCCCAGTGCAGCTTGCGCTCAGCCCCACCGCGGCGGCCTCCTGCTTCCAGTTGCCCTGGTCCAAATCTGGACCATGTCCATTAAGGTTACTTTGGGCTTGCACTGGTGCAACCTGGTACCCCGGCCCCTTTCTGGTGAACTAAAGGAGACCTGTCACCCGCTCTGGTTTGTGTCCTCTGTCCTCCTTCCCCTTGAAGCTCCACTTTGGGACTGTGGCTTTTGCAAACAGATAAATGGTAGTGCAATTTGGACTTCTCTTCTCTAGAGAAGGCAAAGGTGGATACACCTCATTTAAAGCAGGCGCGACAGCGTAGCACTGGGTTTTCACTTGCTGGGTTCACCCATGCGGGAAAGGAAAAGACATCTTCTAACCAAAGTCCCTCCTCTTTCCCACAGGAACATACCAGGGCCAGTTCACCAACGGCATGCGGCACGGCTACGGCGTACGGCAGAGCGTGCCCTACGGCATGGCCTCGGTGGTCCGCTCCCCTCTGCGCACCTCGCTCTCCTCCCTGCCTGGGTTTTCACTTGCTGGGTTCACCCATGCGGGAAAGGAAAAGACATCTTCTAACCAAAGTCCCTCCTCTTTCCCACAGGAACATACCAGGGCCAGTTCACCAACGGCATGCGGCACGGCTACGGCGTACGGCAGAGCGTGCCCTACGGCATGGCCTCGGTGGTCCGCTCCCCTCTGCGCACCTCGCTCTCCTCCCTGCGCAGCGAGCACAGCAACGGCACCCTGCCCCAGCAGGACTCGCCGGCCGCCAACGCCGAGAGCCTCCCCATGTCGCCCACCATCACGCGCGGCGGCTTCGCCCTCAGCCTCTACTCGGACGCTGAGGCTGGCAAGCCCAAGAAAGGGGGGCTCTT